CACCGGATTAATCCCCCGCATCTGGCCTGCGCATTCCGCCGAGCGCATGGACTGCGGCGGGATGGACGCGCTGCCGGACGGCGTGGTGCAGGCCATCCTCTCGCGGCTCAGCAGCGCCCGCGACGTGGCCGCCTGCGCGGGCGTCTCCCGCGGCTGGCGCGACTGCGTGCCCTTCCTCCCGTCCCTCTATTTCCCGCGGAGCGCCTTCGACGCCGCGAGGGGCGCCGGCGCCGCGTGCGCCGACGAAGCCATCGGCCGCATGGTCCACGCCGCGGCGCGCCTCGAGGAGCTCGTCATCTACTGCCCCTTCTCCGCCGCGTGCCTCCCGCGCTGGCTCGCCGCGCGCAGCGCCTCGCTGCGCGTGCTCGAGCTGCGGGTCGACTCCGCAGGCTCCGGATCCGGATCCGGCCACCTCGACTGCGTCGCCGCCGCCCCCAACCTCGAGGAGCTGAGGCTTTGGGGGCTCACCATGACGCGCGGGCCGGCCTGGGGCCGGCTCGACCGGCTCCGCGTGCTGGAGATCGTCGGCGCCTCCCTGGCGGACCTCGCCGTCAGCGGCGCCGTCGACGCCTGCCCCAACCTCACCGACCTCGCCCTGCTCGGCTGCGAGTGCTCCGGCTCCGTGTTCCTGGCCACCCCCCTGCTCCAGCGCTGCCGCCTCGACTTCGTCGGCTCCGGCACCTGCTCGCTCGCGCTCGCCGCGCCCCTCGTCGAGTCCCTCGAGGTCCAGGGTTTCAACTATATCACCCTGCACGGCGGCGACCGCCTGAAACGCCTCACAATTTCCAAGAACACCGGTACGCACTGTACTGGAACCTCCTACCCATGGCCTTCCAAGGCAGTTATCATTCGTTTCACTCTGGTCTAATGTCAATTTCCGTTCAATCTTTCAGGGAGGGTGAACACTGTGGGGATAGACAGGCTCCCGGTGCTGGAGCAGCTGTCTCTGCGTGGCGTCCAGTGGAGCTGGGGAGCCGTCAGCCATGTGCTGCAATGCGGCGCCGAGGCGAAGCATCTGGTGATGAAGGTCGAGTTCTGCGGTGACGCCGACACTCTCCAGCCGTTTCCCGAGGTCGACCTCGTCGAGTTCTTCAACAGCCACCCGAAGCTCTGCAAGTTTGAGGTCCACGGCGCCATGTTTGCGTCGCTCTGCCAGAAGAACAGCCTGAAAAATGTGCGTCATATCCTACTGATTATCAACCGCATCCTTTCACTTCACGCTTGTGTATGGCATGGCTAATTTGTTTCTCCGACATTGCAGTTGGACTCGAGGTTCCTGATATCTTCATTGGAGGAGGTCCTGATCACCGTGCGCTCACCCTTGAATGCTGAGCAGAAGCTGATCACCATTGAGTCCCTTGTCAGGTACAGTCCTAGGCTGCGGAGGATGGTCCTTAGGATCTCGCAGATGAAGAACTGCCACGAGGCTGCAGATGAATTCTTTGAAGAGGTTTCCAAGTTTGCGCATATGAGTAATGGCAGAGTGCGGATTGAATAGAGGCGTGCTGCTGCATGGCTCTGTGCTTTGGCCATGTTTGCTACTATTGAGCTCAATTCTGCTCGAGTAGTTATGCTGTTTTGTTTGTCATTGTTCACGTGTGCTGGATCTTATCAGCATGCTTAGGGTGATTGTTTTGTCCTCTACTTGTTAAAATTTTGTACCTCGAATCTGTATTGCTCCTTGTTTTATGAGAGATAAGAAACTGCTTTACTTCATTGCTCCTGCAACAGCAACTTATGTTCAACCCTTGTGTATTTGATTCCATCCAATATAGCCTTGATTGATATGACAAAGTGTTGATGATCTCAATGGGATGTGCGAAAATTATGTATAATTTGAATAGGACCACCAATAGTTTCTGAAACACCACCTGACTTCCGTAGTCGTTGCCTCAGCTGTGTTTGCACCCTAGTTGATATGTTTGGTTATCTTTTGAAGTTGATGTGGACATTGCTATGCTTGATAAATTGTGATAATATATACTCCCTCCGTTCGGAATTACTTGTCTCGGATATGGATGTATCTAGAACTAAAAGACGTCTAGATACATCCATTTCTGCCATAAGTAATTCCGAACGGAGGGAGTAGTTTGTGTTTCCATTAATACAAAAACAATAAAACCAAAACCCAAGTTATGTAAAAGCTGCTCAACAAAATGTGAATCTCAATTTATTGGGATTTAATTAACAATCAGAAAAGTCCATGACAAAGGGAGTGGTATCTTGTATTATCTCAAGTGATATTATGCTTAGCATCTTCTGTCCTCTTCCAACTGAGTACAATTTTGTTATGATTAGTAGTTTGTATTCACTAGCCAGTATACAGTTGCAATAAGATGATGCTCAGATCTAAAGACATGATTCATATTACTAGTTTATATTAATGATATCAATATCCTTAAAAATGAGTGCTGCATTTTTGGAGATTGCCTTGCATTTCAATCTTGCATCCCCCAGTCACAAGATCACAATGGACAATGGGCATGATTATGTCAAGGTAAATACTCATTAACTGACCTGTGTTTCTTGCAATCCTTTCTACTCATATACAAGGTCCAAAGCTTGAGAAGTTGCGCCAATGAATGAAAAACCCTTTGTCATCTTGAACATGATCCTTGGTTCTGCGATTTGATTGGGACTAGATTAAACCAGGTAAAAAAAGGCAATAGGGTTTATATTTGGAATAACCTAACAGTCACATATATGAGTAGGACTGCTTTGTTCTTTAGAGCCTTTATTCACTGAATGATTGTATCCAGACCAGTACCATGTTTTCTTGCCTGGCATACTGCATTGTATTATACAGCATAGAAAACAGGAGCATATTGCAGGTTGTTTGTACTAATTACTTGCGCGCATTATTACCGATAATCTGGGCATTGCCATTGGCATGGTTAGGACTTGGGAGGAAGGTTATTGGGGCTACTGTATCAGTTGTTTATAGTACCTATTACTTGCACCACTATTTTAGTGTCGCAAATAATGTGACAAATGATGTTACTTCTGTTGTGTTACCTATGATGCCTGGTGATGGTAAATAGTATTGGGGCTTTAATTATTATTTTCTTTGGATCAGGTCATGCCATCCATGAACCTATTTCTACCCAAGGCCAAACATCGACTGTCATTGGTTTGCATTTTAAAACCCGTCTTAGTGCTTTGAATAGAAATCCATGAATATTGTCTTCAACCTGTTACAAATCTGACATCTTATCTAAACCTTGCCATGACCCCAATATGAGCATCTCTTTACTTAGTCCATGTCCTCCAAGATAGTATCCGATAATATTTTTAGTGTTTCCATATTGTTCTCTGGGTCCTTACCGCTTTCCCAAGATGTACTTTATTTGTCATTTGTCCCTAAATGCCTACTATTTTCTTCACCTGGCAGTGTTCTTCTTTTGCAGAATGGATTGAGCACAAAAAATAAGGTATGCTTCTTTAGATCAATAGGAGGATCTATGGTAAAATAAATTAATAAACAAACAAACTGCTTGGATGAAGTGACATATCTAATGCATGGTCAAAACACACTTGAGATTTTGGTTTCCCGTACTACTTGGTTTGGAAATAGTTATTAACTTATTGTCCATGGACCAAAGATGATATTTTAGAAACATTTATTTATAGATATAGAGATTGTAACCTCCATATTGGTCCAGATAAAGCTTTCAAATTTGTTTGTATATGTTATTTGATGGTTGCTAACAAAATGCAACCATGTGCTTTCAACTCCCTACTCAGAAAAGAAAAATGGTTGAGTTGATTTTCCTCATTGGAATTTAGACCATCAGCTCTGCGTGAATAAGACACGAATATCTGGTGCCAGCGGGACAACAATACGAGTATCCTGTC